ATCAAATGCAGTGAGATGCCTATTAGTCCAGTGACAAAGCTTTAGGAAAGAGCCATATAAAAGTGCCTGGATGGGTTTAGCAAGTTTGCCGTGGAAGGTGTGCTTTCTGGTTTTGTGAAGCATATCGAGTCCTCATTATATTGCGTTTCTCACTATTGTCTCCCTAACCTCTCCCCTGCATAGGTCGGTTCTCCTTGGGTCCCGGGGGCTCGACATATCCCACATTTCTCAGCGTTTGGAGAGTCTGAGTGCGGCCACCACCTTTGAGCCTCTTGAGCCTGTGAAGGACACGGACATTCAGGTAGGACTGCCCAGTGCCAGCAAAGCCCCTGTCACTCTGATGGTCAACTGATTTGGGAATTTTCGTTTTCTTTGGTAATTTTCCTTTTCCTCTGGTGATAAGGGAATGGGAAGCTCATCTTAGAGATGGAACGGAGAGCATGGTGATATTTTGTGAGTGCTCTTAACGCTGAATTTAAGAAAGCAATTCTGACCTGCAATTTTTAGATGATGCTAATTTAAGACCACAGGCTTGCCTTTCTTCGGGCTTACTCCAAGGCTCAGAAGCATTACTTATAAGTTTCTCTTATTTTCTTTGCTAGCTATCAAATGATTATACTATTTGTTTTCTGCGTTTCGTATCTACATCTTATTTTGTATTGGCTGAAAACGAGCTGGGGAAAACTTAAGAGTACTATTTACTGAAACCTACTCATTGATTTCCAGGATGCATTTGGCTACATTAATGGCACCAGGAAATGGTCAAATAGAACACTCAATTTCCTTTGAGCCCACAGACCACTAGTATAATGCATAACTATTTTATTCAAGTCAGAAACTGATAATATAAGGAAGCAAAATCTTTTTTTCTTTTTTAATACTTTTATTGGGGGCTCTTACATCTCTTATCACAATCCGTACATTCCTCCAATTATCAAGCACATTTGCACATACGGCGCCATCATCATTTTCAAAGCATTCTCTTCCCACTTGAGCCCCTGATATCAGCTCCCCATTTCTTCCCCCTCCCTGCCCCGCCCACCTCCCTCACGAACCCGTGATAAGTTATAGATTATTATTTCCATATGTTACATCATCCTCTGTCGCCCCTCACCCACTTTTCAGTTATTCGTCCCCCTGAGAGGGGGGTTCGAGGTTGCTCCTTGTGATCGGTTCCCCCTTCCAGCCCCCACCATCCTCTAATCCTCCTGGTATCTCTACTCTCCTTGTTGGCCCTGAGGAATTTATCTATCCTGGATTCCCTGTGTTGTGGGTTCTTGTAGCAGTGTGCATGCTATGGTCTAATCTGATTTGTAAGGTAGAATTGAGGTCACGGTAGTGGGGTGAAGGAAGCACCAAAGAACTAGAGGAAAGTCGTGTGTTTCTTTGGTGCTATACTGCACCCTGGCTGGCTCGCCTCTTCCCTGTGACCCCTCTGTGAGGGGATGTCTAATTGTCTACAGATGGGCATTAGGTCTCCACTCCTTCCCTCCCACCACCTCCATTCACCTTGGGTATGGTTTTATTCTGGGTGTTAGATGCCTGATACCTGATTCCATCGACACCTCACGATTACACAGGCTGGTGTGCTTCTTCCATGTGGGCTTTGTTGTTCTCAGCTAGATGGCCGCTTATTTATCTTCAAGCCTTTAACACCCCAGGTGCTATCTCTTTTGATAGCCGGGCACCATCATCAGCTTTCTTCACCACATTTGCTTATGTACCCATTTGTCTTCAGTGATTGTGTTGGGAAGGTGAGCATCACAGAAAGCCGGATTGTTTGAACAAAGTGTTAAGGGAGTACTTGAGTCGAAGCCCAATGTCCATCTGCAACCTTAATTCATAACATATAGATATGAGTACATAGTTCTATTCCCCTCTCATTATATATATATATATATGTATATGTATACAGTGAACCCTCGCCACTTCGCGCTTCGACTTCCGCGGCTTCACTTTATCGCGGTTTTTGCGTAACAGCGCATGCTCTGTCATTACTGCCACTGATTGGCTCATACTGTACATGCTTGATGCCATAAATAATATAATAAATAATAAATGATAATTGTAACGTCGAAAATGTTTTACTGTATTTTCCCTTTTTCGTTTAATAAATTGGGTAATACGAGTGTAATGGTGACTAAAGGGTGTTTTTTCATGTCCTCTATGCTCTAACTACGAAAATATTTGATTTGCAAATAAGGAATCCTACTTCGCGGAATTTCATTTATCACGGTAGGTTCTAGAACCGATTAACCGCGATAAACGAGGGTTCGCTGTATATACATATGTACATGCCTGTATTTAGGCCTCTATAAATGTCCTCTGGGAGGCAAAATCTTTAAAGGAAAAATGTTGTGCTTTAAGGAATTAGAACACTGCGTTTTTGGGTATACAGTGAGGTACAGTGAGGGTATTATTGGTTTGCCCTTGAAATGGAGGGACAAAGTCCAACCAAGGCATCCTAGTAGAAGTGGAAATGATTGTGTTTCTGAGTTTTAGTCGTATAAATAACGCTCCACCCTTCTGAAGAGCCATTTGAGTTCATCTAACTGCCACAGTTTGCATTTATTTCAGTTACAGAAACGTAAAGCCCTATGTTTGAGTAATTACCAATATTCATTATTTTCCCTGTCATTGATACAGTCCTAAAATATGGAAATCCAGATCCGTCCTCCCCCCACCCTTTTATGCACTAAATCATATTTGTCTATCAATTTATAAATAACCTCATTTCCATGTAATCTAAAATGGCATGCATATGCCTCTTTTCTGGTTTACCTGTCCTATTTTAACTGCTTGACGCTTTGTAAACAAGTACTTATAGCAGTGATGAGACAGGATGGATGGGACATGACTCAAGTCATTAGATTAATCAGCAGATATTTTGAACAGCACCCCTAATAGCGTGGAAAGGAATGGCATTTGCTGAAAGGTTGTTTGTTTGAAATCTTTAATGTTGAAAATACCAACAGAGCTGTACATTTTAAAGCTGGAGCTCCTTTTTGTAGTTTTCTTTGGCAGACCTGGAATGCACATTTGGAAACGCAGTACCATTTTATGCATTTGTGCTGATACGTGGTCTTACTTTGCAACATTGACAGGCCTGTAAATGTATTGAGTCGTAATGATCCTCTATTCTCACCCTCTACTTAATGCATGAACACCCTGCTTCCACACCCCCATTAGACGGTTTCCTGGCAATGCATGCTCAGTCATGTCAAAGGAGCTTTTTAATTTGGAGTGAGCATGGCTGAGAGTGTTGGTCCTGGACCACTGGGAAATCTTTGACTTTTGAGAACAAGGATGCTGCAGTCTCGGTTTCACCTCTCAGTTGGGTTTTTCAAAATAAGTAGCTTTAAAAATGCAAAATTCTATTATCTTTTAAGTCTATTCTACGAACTATTGGAAAATCCAACTCGTAGGCTTAGATGTGGACTTGTTCGATTATATCATAATTTGATGTTTACTTTTTCAAACAGAATCCCTCTGCCCCCCTCCCCCGCTTTTCTTGCTTCTACCTCCCTCTGAAAAGAATAATTTTTTGAGGAGCCATCAAACTTCCATAGGGAAGTAGTGCATGAGGGAGGGTCCCAGTACCTCTGATAACGCCCATTCTGATGAGTGTGAAATGGAAGCTCTTTGCTGTGTTGATTTGCATTTCCCTAATGCAGTAGGAGCCCTGGCGGTGCCATGGTTAAGCACTCAAAGGATGGTGGATCGAATCCACTGGCTGCTCCAGGGAGAAAGATGTGTCTGTCGGCGTGCATGAAGGTGACTGCCTTGGAAACCAGACGGCGCTGGCGGTGGTGGGTTTGCTTGTCGGGTTGGCTGATGAAGGCGCCCTGGTGGTCAAGTGAGTTAGTTACATGTTGGGCTGCTAATGAAAGGTCAGCTGTTCGAACCTTCCTAGTGGTTCCATAGGAGAAAGATGGAGTTTTCTTTTCCCATAAAAAGTTACCGTCTATAAGAAATCCAGAGGGACAGCAGTTCTAACCTGCCCTGTAGCGTTGCTACGGGTCAGAATCCACTCAATGGCATTGCGTTTGTTGAATGACATTGAGCAGCTTTGCTTTGCTTATTGGCCATACGTCTGTCTTCTTTGGAGAAGTGCTAAGGACTTGAAAGGCCTTTGCCCTCTGTTTTTTGCCTTTGTCCACATTTTAATTGGGCCCTTTGTCTTTTTGTTATTGAGTCCTAAGAGTTCTTTATATATTCTGGATTTTAAACTCTTATCAGATATGCTTATCAACTACATTCTCCTATTCTGTAGGTTGTCTCTTTACTCGGTTGATTAACATCCTTTCATGGGCAGTTTTTTATTATCTGATGGGCTCTTGTGTATGAACACTTGTTTTTCAATTAGTGCATTTTTTGAAATGAGAAAGCACTTTGACGTGCGCTGGCTGTCGGTCAGAGTAACAGTATTGTGCCCATTTATAAGACCCCGAGGTCACTGTTGACCCAAGGAGATGCTGCTGTTCCCGCACCTGCAGCCTGTGCTGCCAGGGCACCCACTCCTTGCCTTTGCCCTTGTTCAGATGCCCCTTTTCCACTTGGTCAACATTGATTGTACTATCAGTTTCCTTCAGTTTCTAATGGCTTTTCGAGTTAATTTTTGTTGTTGTTGCTTGTCATAATCATTGATTGCTGGCACGTATTGAGAATGCATTAAAAAGTGCTGTGACCAGCAAAGGTTATTAATATATATTTTTAAAGCTACTTAAATAGAAACAGAAAAATAGTTCTGTAATGCTAGTTGTTTGTTTTTTTTAAGCACCTTTTCTCTGTTTCATTTTGGGAAGGGGGACTGTAGAGAATGCTTGGGAATTTGAGCTAGGGATGAGAGCAAGAGATGCTGCCCAAATGACCGCACTGGTCTCCTGGTGACTGGGGCTTGCGAGGAGCACAGCCCTGCTGCAGAGATCCTCTTGCGCACTTCTGTCTTGGGGGGAAATTGAGGGCAGATTGCACAGAAAGGCTTCCTGTAGCCCGGATGACGATGTGTATTGTGTCATAATAAAGGGCAGGTGGACACAGGTCGGTCATAGCCCAGGCCCTTTCAGTGCATGTCAGAAAAAGCAAGGGCAAAAGTCGCTCGAGTGAACCAGAAAAACAGCTGTCGCTTCCCAGCACTGGACTCGAGTATTCCCAAATGGCGTGAGACAAAAGCAGTCCTGTTACTGCTACACTGCTAGAATCGTTTTGAGGGCTGCCACGACAATTGACTACAAGCCCCGTGGCCCAAACCCTGGAGCACTGTTTCTTGGCAGTTCTGCAGACTCGCAGTCTGAGATCCAG